ATTCTGGGAGTTGAAGTCCACTCATCTTAAAGTGGCCAAGTTTGGACAACACTGGAATAATACATCTCCTTGGAATGTTTTCTGGAGTTCAAGGTTGGAATAACCCCTGAGCAATTTGGACCTAGGAGAAGAGTGGAGTGGAGTGAAATGCAGTGAAATAAAATTGAGTGCAATGGATGCTTTGTGCTAACTAGCATCCCTCCATTAGCATTACCTGGGTGTATTTTTGACACTGGGGCTGCCATCATGCAAACACTGCTTGAATCCCAGTTAACTCTCATTATTTTACAGGTAGAGTAGGTCATTAATAGTATGCTTTATCTCTCCCTCTTCACTTCTTTACGATACAAAGAGATCCTGGGGCAGAGGCCAGAAAGCGTTGGCCTCACTGTTTAGTGATGTCATCTTGAATAGATCACCTGGATTCCACTTGAGTCCCCCCGCTAGCTGAGCACTGGGGCTTCCTGGAAGGGGGTACTGCTCCTTGGAACGGCTGGGACATTTGACCCATCATCTCTCAGGGTTGAAGGTGGGACCTACCAACACCTTTTCTTCTGTTCATAGCCCCTGCAACCTAATAACACCAAGCAGCATGAGATGAGGATATCTAAATCCATGGGAGATATACTGGGATCTCTGTACAAAGACAGCGAGAGGACACGAAAGCATTCAACAGGTCAGTGAGATGCAGTTGTACAGCGGACCAGGTTCTTCTGATGAGCTCCAGTAGTTGGGGAATGATCCCATTCCTGTATGTGAACCGAGGAGGCTCTTCAGCCTAAAGTGGCTACCCATAGGCTTATCCTCCAAACAGTGGCCTGCAGGCATGTCATTCTGCAACTGCATTGAAGCTAGGTAGGTCTGCATCTGGTCAGCGTTTGGATGGGAGTCCTCTGCTCCTGGCTATACCATATCTAGTACTTTTAGCTTCAATGAAGAATGATGTAGCTAATCAACGGTGTTCCATGTCCAGGGCTGGATTTGGGTCAGAAGTTTGCAGAGCAGATCTTGGTCGCTGCTACCTGGAGTTGAAGCTTTCCTCTATCTAAGGTAGAAGGGTCTCCTGCTTATAAAGTCACTCCCTTGGAGTTGACCCCCTCAACGCCCCAACCTATAAGGCAGTTGTGCCCCATCTGCAAGGCAGCTTGGCCTACCCTGGTGTTTTCCAGATGTGTTGGGACTGCAGATCTCCGAGTTTCAGCTGCTCTTCCAGGATTGGCAGGCCCAGCCAAGGATAGGCAAGTGGGTCCATGGCTGATACTTGGGACTTCCACAGTTCCTTGCCATATTCTAGTGAGGGCTGGTAGGAGTTGAAATCCCAACTTCTGTAGCGGACCGGGTTGTAGGGGAATTTGCTCTACGAGATGGGCTGAATCAGGATTCCTCATCCACATTACTACATCTGTCTTAGTTCTTTGCTGGAGATTCCTGGCAGACTAAAGCATTGATTTTTTTAAAAAAATGATCATGCCTTTTCTCCCTTACATTGCCATCGAGTCTTTGCCCAGAATACTGGGAGGCAATTGGAAAGCTGTTTCAGAAACAAAATGTGCTGGTTTGTTGCTCCATTAAGTCTCTGCAGATGTCGTCTTGCGCTTGAACCCCGTGAAATGTTTGCTGTTTTCCTTCGGCCTGCCAGTCGAGTTGATTAGCAAACCAATGACTTTTGGAGTTAATATATACTTGTTGTTGGCAGAACACCCAAAAGATTCTTCTTTCAGCAAAAGAGCTAATGCTTGGCAAAGGGTCTCATTTGTTAAACAGACGGGAGGGGGGAGAAATGCGTGAAAAGAAACAGAGGGTATCAAATCTTCACTGATTTATGATTGCAAATGTTCCTTCCAACAATGAGTTTGGAATGACCGAAAAACGTAACTTGGTTTTTTCCAAAACAAAGCAGCTCTTTAGTCCTCGTGGTCGTATGAGAAAAAGAATCCCAAACTGTTGTTGGCATTTTCTTGGGGAGGAAAATCATCCTGAAAGCTAGAGGCAGAATTGCGAAAGGGGAATGTGTAGAGGTGCTCAGCTTATTCCGGTATTGAAGACTGCTATATTTAAGGAAAGGAGCAAAATACAATCTGGAGACCAGGGTGGAATATGAAATGCTTCAGAGGACCTGTCCATCAAAGGGTTGTAGATCCTGGGTCTTTGATGTATTTGGGCTGAACTTAGGATCCAAAGCTGGAGGGAGATAATGATGATGATTCCAGTTCCACTGTGCCACAGTCAGTGTTGGCTATATTTGTAAAAAGAAGAACACTCCAAGGAGGGAAGTGGTGGGAGCAGAACTATGAAGCAGCCACACCAAGACGGGGAGTTTGGCCAGGGTGTGTAAAACCCAGAGAACTTCTGAAAGAGGAGAGTTGAGATGCCCCCGCCTTTCATCCTGTGGGTTCAGCCCTTGCCACTCCAAGTTCCCACCAATGCCGGACTTCAGTTTCTGTCAGCTTCGGCCTGCATGACCAGTTTGAAGGGGCTGTGAGGGTTGTAGTTCAAAAATATCTGGAGATCACCAGGATGCCCACTCTTGCTCTGGGCCAGAAGGGTGGGGATGGAGTTGGTTTAGCATTTCCATTCCTTACTGAGTGAGGGCCCATCACTCAGTAAGCTTTACATGCGTGTTGATGGTTCCAGAAGTTCTTGGCATCGCCAATGAAAGATCTCAAAGACCAGGTCCATGAATGATCCTCTGCCTGAAACAGGTACCCTCCCTAGGGTTTGGTCATGCTATCTGAAGGTTTCTGGAAGTTGTAGTCCAAAATATCTGGAGGGTAAAAGTTGAAGCCAGCTTTAGCAAGGCAGAGTTCTACTCTGCTTCCATTGAGGGCAGATACATGTCCACCCAACATCATCATCTGACATGGTGCATTCTCCTGACTCTTTTATTTTCCTTCATGCCTATGTCCCCTGCTCAGCATTAGGACTGGATTGCCAGCCTTATGAAATTGTTCTTTTTCAAGGCCACCCTCCCCTTCCCTGCTGTTGGGATCCACACTCACCTCTCGATCTCCCCCTTGGTGACATCTACCTGTCTTGCAGGTTCTCTGCACACTGGTCGGAGTTCTCCACCTCCTGGGAGTGTCCCTGAAGAGCAGCAGCAGATCGCTCGCCAGGGATCGTACACCAGCATCAACAGTGAAGGAGAGTTTATCCCTGAAACTATGGACCAAAATGTAAGCTGCACTGAAGAGAGAATCGGACCCCAGAAGTCTTTGGCTTTGGGGTGGCAGAAGAAAGAATGTGATGGATCAGCTTGACTTAGCCCTGTGGAGATCCCTGGGATTCTTCATAACCTAAGAATCCAGTGCCCTTCTGGTTATATTCTGCTTGGTTGGGGTAGCACGTGCTTAAATGGGTCTGTTTGGGGCAATTTCAAACATGTACTGAAACCCTCCTCTTTATTTCTCCCCTTCTTTTTTCTCTCGAAGTTGTTGGACCCATTTATTAGCCCAGACGACTCACTTTCTGGTAGCTGTCAGTCCCTGGACAGATCCATAGACAGGTAAGGGAGATATAGGATGATAGCAGAAATGGCTCCCTGGGGCGTGAGTTCAAGAAAGAGGCTTTACCAGGGTACTGTTTTCCTCCTTTGGAACCAGAAGGGCCACCTGTTTCCATACTTTCTTGCTTATTTCTTGAGGTCATCATCAGAACAAGTTCTGGTGGGTGGCAATAAGGGAAGGGGGCCTTCTCAGATGTGGTGGTTTGGCTTCAAAATATCCTCCCTGGAGAGACTCGCCTGGTGCCTTCACTGTCCTCTTTGATTTGTCAGGCAAGGATCTTTTATTAAAAGAACAATAATTTGTTATATATAAAGAATGAAGAATTATTAACACTGAGCTGCTGACTTTTATGGTGCTTTTTCTACTCTCCGGGTGGATATATGTCTTCTGTTATACATCATGCTCCTGGTTTGTTTATTGATGCAAGATGCCTAACATTTTTATATGGTGAGATAGACATTGCTAAGCTTAAAATGTATGCTGGAATTTGAAATGATACGCATTATTCAGATGTTCAGTCAACGTGCAGTGAAGGGTACCAGTTTGGAGGAGGTGGATATAGAATAAGCAGTACAGAAGGCTGAACACATCTCACTGGATCTAATTTGATTTCTTTCTGCAGTCCACCTTTCAGCCAAACACCTGTTTCAAGAAGGAAGAGAGAAACCAAGGACAGCTTGGAGTGTTTAGGTAAGAATGCTAAGCGTGGGATTGTTGACTTCAACCAAGATGGATATACCCAAGGTCTCCCCAAAATGTTGGAAGGCGGATGGTGAGCGAAAATTCCCCCAAGCAAGAATGTAAGAAAAGTTTTAGCTGAGCTCTAAAAGGCTGCAATGCCAGGAGGTCAGAATTATAACAAGCCCCACACAGTTCTCCTCAGTCGGCCCCAGAGAACAGGGATGTTTCCCAGACGGATACGTTCACGATCTGACATTTTGCTCGCAGAGAGGATTCTCGGTGGAAGGCTTGACTTCAACATCCATGTGTAGCTGGTGAAATCACGGAACATTTCCTTACTGTTATGTTATCGTGACCTCTGCTATTAAGAATGAATACATGGCAGGGGGCCCAGAGATGATAATTAAAAAAGAAGAGAAAAGAAAGGCAGTGTTTGGCTTGAAGTGATATTGTGCTGTGGAAGCTGACCTTCAAGTTCAGGCTGTGGGACTCTGGGATTTTTTAATAGGCCTCCAGGGTGCAGAACTCAAGTTTCGGATTAAGCGGTCCTCTGCCTGAGCCCCAACTGTCCTGCTCACTCAACTGGCCCCTGCTTTCTTTCATGTACCTTATGGCCATCTCAACATCTTTGCTTCAAGAAGAGCACGTTAGGACGAAGCAGCCAAACTGCCTTAGAAGATGATCCATGAAGCGGTGGCTCAGCGATGTGGAGCACGAGTAGGATTTATGGTTGGGCTTCAACAGGACTGCAGAAAATCCGGCAGTGAAAGAAAACAAGATGAAACTTAGGCCTTTTTGTGACCGTTCTCCTGGCTGAGCTATTTGCTTTCTGTAGACAATTCTATCTTCTGGTTTTGTAAAAATATTGTTCCCAGCATATGGGCCCATTTCTCATTTCTCTGAGTCACGTACCCTATCTTGGAGAGGCTGCTAACGGCTTGATGGTGCAGAAATTGGCAATGTGAAAATGAAAATTGAGTTTGGGATGGAACCGGAGATTGTACCGTTCTTTTTGAATGGACTGGGGAATGGCTGGCTGGGGAATTCTGGGAGTTGAAGTCCACACAGCTTAAAGTTGACAAGGTTGAGAAACACTGATCTAGGACAACACCTATTATTTAATTCTGCCTCTAAGTCAACTTGTAACGGGGGTTAGAATCTGGAGTGGCTCCTGTTATCTTGGATTTTATTGGGCAGGTGGGAGTCAAGCATGCAAAAGTTTTCCACCTTTTCACCTTGCTCCTCTTCCTTTGCCAGATTTCGATATTCCGTTTTGCGAGCGAGGGAAAGGCGGCACCTTCCCGAGGCAGTATCATCTCTCTCAGAGTCGCAAGGATTACAACGACGGTAAACTGGTCAAAACAAGGGTTGAATTGTTTTTGAAGGATAGACTGTAAGAGTTGGAAGCAGCGGTGTCTGCAGGGTGGTCAAAAAAGTCAACATGGTGGGCACAAAGGTGTGATCAAAGTTTGGCTGGTGCAACACACATAACAAGCAGAACTTCAATCTCACCATTGTGGCTGCCATCTTGACTTTTGTGACCATACCCTGCAGACACTTTGGGTAGGAAGAGCCTTAGCTAGCCCAGTGTAGGAATCTCCTACTACAGCACTACTACATCTACTATTGCTATTAAAAGAGAAGGGTGTGAAGATGGACTTGGAGGATCCAACAGGGCATAATCCTTGCCCTTGAATTACATGTGTGAACCCCATATTCCTAAACCTGAAAGAAGATGGCTTTTCATAGGCATGCCATGTTTCATTGACAGGATAAGATTTTTCTCTCTTCCACACTAATCAAGATGCGTGTAACTGAATGTGTCCTCTTTGGCTTTCCATTAACCCATGCTGGTTTTGGAGAGGTCATAACTGCCTTACTGGCTCCATCATTTCAATGTGTTAGAAAGTAGAGAAGCTGAAGAAGACTATAGCTTCCTTTGGACATCTTCCTCAAGGGGCCTTGAGAAGGGAACCAGAGAGATTCTCTTGCATTTCTCTTCTACAGCCAGCATAAAATCAGCCCTGTCAATGAATAGACATCACAGATCTGGTGCCCACCAGGCATCTTGGATTAGCAGTTCTCAATTTGCAGCTGTGTTGGCTGCAAATTGTAAGACTGAAGTCCAACACGTGTGAAGGACAAATTGGGGAGTATAATAGCACTCAAGTATCTAAATGAAAGGCAGACAGAAGAAAACCAGGATCTTTTCTTTGTCACCCCAGAATGCACGACATGGAATAGTGGTCTTAAGTGACAGGAAGGCAGTAACTTCCAGTAACTTCAGATCATTCGTTGATCCTGGTTGAACGTTACAAACATTTTCTAGTAAAAAGAGAGTGTAGAAGGGGGAGGCAGTTCCATAGGGAGATGGTGGGCTTCATTTCACGGGACATCTTCAGGCAAGATTGGATAAACATTTCTTGGGGTTACTTTAATTGGGATTCCCACATCCCTTACATTTGGATCCCTGCCTGGCCTCTTCTATGAATCATGGAATTCTTTGATTTTAGGAACTAAGGTAGAAAAACAAACCAGGATGACAGATAAAATTGGACTTCAATGAGATCCACTCATCTTCAAAAGTAAACAGTGTCCCTGTTCAGTCTACATCAGTGTTTCTCAACCTTGGGAACTCTAATTCTGGGAAGTGTGGACTTCAACTCCCAGAATTCCCCAGCCAGTCCACACATCTTAAGTTCCCAAGGTTGAGAAACACTGGTCTACCTACACACAGGGAAAGTCTCCATGGTCTCAGTTCTTTTGTTCTCTCTCCATTGCTTTCCAAGGCCGAAGAACGTTCCCCAGAAGTTACGCTCCTCCAGAGAACCTGTTTCAGCTTCTGCCTTCCAGCCGAACCAAGAGTTACAATGGAGACAACAAGCTCATCACCTTGCGGTACGAGGAACGCGGGAGCAACAAGTGGTGGCACAATTGTGACAAGATCTTTCAAGGCTTTGGCTCTTCTCCTGCCAAGACCAGGAACAGTAAGTTGCCTCTCAATGGGCTTCTGCTGTGTATGTGGGCCTGGATGGGAATTCTCTTCATTGGCCATGTTAAATGCTATCTTGAAACCCTTGGGCTTCACCCAGGGAAGGAACATCAGGGCTGGCTGGTAATGAGTCTGCTCATTGAGAGGTTGTTCAGAGTTGATGACCTTTGAGGATGCTACTTGTGTTGGGGAAAACACGTTTCAATGGCGAGGAAACCATTTCTTGTCTGCCAATTTCAGAAATAAGGTGATGATTTCAAAGACTGAACAAGGAGCATGTCTACCCCTTGCAATCAAAACAGGGTTTCTACTCTGACTCAAAAAGCAAAGTGAATTGGCCTTGAGGAAATTCCTTCGCTGATTAATAGGTCAGTTGGACATCTTCCATTGTTGATCTTGTAAAGTTAAAAACTGACGGTGGAGTGTCTCAGATTTTTATTGCAAGATTTCCCTGGAATTACAGAGGGCTACCTCAATGTTCCTCCACGTTTTTGACACCTAAAGAACAAGTGTTTTGAGGGGAGGACACTTTACTCCCTGAAGGAATACTAATTGTCACTCTGACAAGGTTCTGTGATTTCCCATTCAGCTCCCTAAATAATTAAGTTACTTTCCTTGTAACTACAGAAGCTGTTCCCCCACTTTCCAGGTGGAGCTCCCAAAATTCCTAGTCAGCATGGCCTTGGGCTAGGATTCTGGGAATTGCAGCCCTACAACATGTGGATGGACAAAGCTGAACTACAGAAGAGTTTAGAACATAGTGGAAAAAGTGATCCTCTGAATGTAATTGGATGCACAACTTAGCTCTTCCAGCTAGTGTGCCTGTAGTCATGAATTGTACCAGGAGTATTTGAAGGTCCAAAGATTACCCATTCCCAGCCTAATTAACATATCCTTCCAGTATCTTCAGGTATTTCTCCCAATGGTGAATCCTTTGAGATGTCCTTATCTCTCAGTCTTGAGCAGGCTTAGACCTCTGAATGTTTTGAATCACACCCTACTTCGATAGCCAAGGATAGACCTTTGCCATCAAACGCTTTATAATCATCATCTTAGCTCTGAAAATAACAAACAAGAGATGAGTTCTTTATCTTTCACAAAGGTGTTTTCCCCTCTCAACACAAGTAGTATCTTCAAAGGTCAAAAGAATTGCTGAGCCCAAATTTTCCACCCTGATTTTCATGTCCCTTTCAGGCACAGGGAAGTACCAGAGATGGGAACCTGATAATGTTTGGGAGACAGGGAAATTCAGAAATGGTGGATGGTGGGGTAGGCAAGAGAGTTAATACACCTTGTCATAACTGGAGGGCACTATTTTCCCCTAGAAGGTGAGTTTGTGCTACTAGTTGTAGATTTTCATGGAGATGTCCTGCCTCCCCTAATGGTCAAGCTGAACATACTCAGTTGAGAGTTTTCTGTCGAACATGAAATCCTGGGTGTTTTGAATATATTGCTGTCCAATGCAATTTATATTGCATTTCCAAGTTTTCCTTATAGCCTGTTCAGAAACCCTTGGGGTGCAATGTTGGCAAGTCCATTCTGGCCATCGACATTTTTGTAAGTGAAGCTGAGCAGAGTTATCATAGGATTAGTCAGAAGGTATACATTAAATCTGCTTAATTTTGATGAAGCCCAAATTTAGTGATGTGTTGGCAACTGAAATCTAGGCTAGGCCTAAATCCAGCTGATAACAAGTTTCAAAAGTCGTCAGGTTCTTAGATGGCTGTTCTCCAAGGAAACTACAAATTCTGTATTAGGAAGGAAATCAAGTAAAATGCAGATAGGTTGTGGGACCCTAGCTTCAAATGCCAGCCTGTTCTTTAGAAGTCCCAGCAACTACATGGGCTAGAAACCTGAAGTGAAAGCTGACGTTCTCCTACTTTTGATGAAACCGTCAGATTCTGCCCTGGAAAAAGGTGAATTTTCCCAGTGTTGTGCATGATCATTGCATAGTAGGAGTTGTGGAAGTTTGGGGAGCTTGAGTTGGGTGGGGTTTTCTCCTTCACTGTGACCTTGTTTTATCTCCCTTTAGCACTGCAGGCCCCAGTGAACTGGAGGCTTGGAAAGTTGTTAGGCCGAGGAGCTTTTGGAGAAGTCTACCTTTGCTACGATGTGGACATTGGACGAGAGCTGTCTGTGAAGCAGGTGCCTTTTGATCCTGACAGCCAAGAGACCAGCAAAGTGAGTATTTGGTCAGATTAAGAAACAGGAATTTGTTGCCCTCCCTACACACTTCCCATCCATCCATCCATCCATCCATCCAACCATCTCCCTGTCCATCCATCCATCCATCCATCCATCCATCCATCCATCCATCCATCCATCCATCCATCTCCCTGTCCATCCATCCATCCATCCATCCATCCATCCATCCATCCATCCATCCATCCATCCA